AATGAAGCATATAACATAATAATGGAGTAAAACATCAAGTATTAATTTTGATTTAAGAAATCGGAAATATATAGCATAATAAATTCGATTTTTTACTTTCAATCTTGAAGGGAAAGAAGGAACAGTCGCAGGCGGAAGGAAGAAGGGAAGAATCGGTGTACCGCCGTCGCTGGCGGAAGGAAGAAGGAGCAGTCGCTGGCGGCGTTGCTGGCTTCATCGGTCGGAGCAATTGGTGGGAGCGAGCGCAAGGCGTCGGAGCTGGAGGGGAGAAAGTCGGACCTGGAGGGAGACGGTATAGGAAGGAAAGAAAGAGGCGATGTCGCTGTGGCGCAGCTATCGGAGAAGACGCCGGAAACAGAGCTGGAGGCGGAGAGGACGTCGACGACTACGATGGCAGGGAGGGAACACAACTTTCGTGGAACGGGGTGGAGGTTTGCTATGTGCGGCGATGAGAAAGAAAATTGGAGATGTGATTTTGAGAAGAAAGAAAAGAGCGAGACCTACGAGGGCAGCGTCCGTCTTTTTATTTTTTCAGATGTGGATTGAACTCTTAATTTTTAAGAGGCATTTATCAAATTCAGAGGGGTTTAATAAGAGGGCACCAAACAAGCCACATCTGAATTTTTAAGAGCTTACCTCTTAATTTTTCAATTAAGAGGTAAACAAACAGGGCCTTACTTTTCTAGGTTTGGCTTATGCAGTTCGTTGTAATGGATATCTAAAATCAACACAAATTAAGATGTTCAACTGATCTCACAAAATTTGCATGGCTAAAAGGTCTTAACCACAAATCTTATTTCATTGTTGTACAAAATAGAAGTAATATTTTTGACATACTCTACATGAAGAGACACATTGTGTAGAGATATTGTAAGATTCACATATTTATGGCCTAAATCTTTGTCATATTACCATCTAGGGTTTTAATTCTTTTCTTCGCTATTGAGTTTTCGATCAGGTATTATCTTTTTCTTTTTTCTTTCATCGTCGGATGTCTATCCTTCATAAATTTGTTTATTATTTCCTGTTTTATAGTAAAAGTGGCTATTCGTTGGAAAATTGTTGGATTAATCAACAACTTTTACATTGGTAACAACATCAATGGTTTTTCAGTTTTAGGATTTCTAAAAGAATTTTTATTTTATGTTTTTTATAGCGAAGGTATTTCTTTCTTTTTTTGGTCGTGGTTGAACCGTTATCTTGATGTATATATAATTTGGTCCGTTTTCTATTCATGGCTTTTGGGCTTCGAACATTTTCTCATGTATTTTTAATTGGAATTGATGATGTTCAACGTGGGGTTGTTCTGAATCACCTATGGATAATGATCCCCCCTTTTCATCTATGGATTGAATCAATGTGATGGTAAGTTGCATGGTTTTGATGGTGGGTTATTTGGATGTATTAGAACATTGTGAATTGGCTATTAGCGACAATATAAAATTGCAATTTTATCTATAATAAAGACCAGTGTCTAGCCATCTTAGGGTAATTTGGGTATCTAAAACAAATATAGTGGAAGTGTTTTTATATAGAAGGTAAGGGCATGAGGCGTTGATTCGTGGCAACTTTTTATGATATATTAGCAACGAAAGTGATTGAAATTCCTCATTAGGTTGTTTAATTAGAAGTGAATATGTTGTATTTATCTTTGACATACTTAATGAGTGGTAACAAGTGATGTAGATTAGACATTGACAACTTCATCCCATTGGATCATGATTATACTCAAATATATGTTCTCACCATTTGGTAGGAGGCAAATAAATCTTCATAATAACTTCTAGATCAATGAGTACAATTAGATCTTTTAAAGTACTCTGAAAACTACTTATGTTTCTTGAAATTTTTTGTCAGTTTGGTTTAATTGTAGTCGATTGTTCCTTTTAGGAATCAAGTTGAAGCTCTAAAATTGATTGCATAAGGAATCAAGTTGAAGCTCTAAAATTGTTTTATATGCAATCGTTTTCTTTTATTTTCTTTTCTAGGTTTGGCTTATGCAGTTCGTTGTAATGGATATCTAAAATCAACATGAATTAAGATGTTCAAGTGATCTCACAGAATTTGTATGGCTAAAAGGTCTTAACCATAAATTTTATTTCATTGTTGTACAAAAAGAAGTAATATTTTTGACATGCTCTACAAGAAGAAACAAATTGTGTAGATATATTGTAAGATTCACATATTTATGGCCTAAATCTTTGAAATGTAATGGTTGTAAGGTTTCTGGAAGTATAAACTACTCTTTTGGTTGTTCACTTTTGTAGTGCTTTACCTGATACAAAACTCAACTTCAGTATCGTTTTGGAAATGATCGAGTTTTTTTTCACCATTGACATGTACAGTACAATGTTCTAGCGCTTGACAAGATGGTGTTAGTTGATCATCATTAATATGTACTTGTTCTTGTTTAAAGTGGCGAGTTCAGTTACAGCAAAATACATAACATTATACTTTCAACTTGTTTTTTATACATTTGTATCATGTTGGTTTTATGTTGAAGTATTTTACTAGGATTTCTGTAAAGCAAACTTTTTTGACCTATTTCATCTAACAAATAATAATGTGCTTCAATAATCCCATGTGGCAGGGTATGTATGTTTGGAAAACCTTTTGTCCCATGTAATTCACAATATTTTCCTGAAAGAAGTACTTTTGCCTACCGTTACATTATTTATGTAACGTCCTTTTGTTTCTTGTTTTAAGATAATTAAAGTAGGGGCATGCGTGGTAAAATGTTTTTCATGTTACTATTAAATACAGAAAATACATTAAAGAGTGACAGTTTCACAAAATAATTGATTTAGCCACCGAACAAACTTTTTTGCTATCAGTTTTAGCCATTGAACCACTCCTTAAAATGCTTTAATAATTTTAGAAGAAATTGTCGTGGCTAAATCGTTAAAATGATGACAGCTCAATATTTTTTCTATATTTTTTCCTAAAAACCAATTGTTACCGGTGGGCAAGAAAGTTAATTAGGGAAATGACCAAAACATCTTTTAAGAAAAATGCTAATTTTTTGGACATATGGTTATTCAAGAAATGTTAAATGTTTTCCTTGTCATTGCGCGGCCGAGCGGGTATTATGACATTAGAGATAAATGCTTTCTTAATACAAACTATCTACCAAAAGATATATTTCATAGCGGCATTTAGGTTGTTTTGTGTTGTTTATATTATATATTTTCTTTCTTCTTCTTTTTTTTAAGTATAATTTGTCCTAATTCAAACTTGTGAAAACATCTAACCAGTATACACATTGTACTTTTGATAGTATACACATTGTACATTTGGTTTTTAACGGTGTAAATTTATTTTCTTACCCATAATAGCAAATATACTTACATTTTCTTACAAATAAATGAAACTATGTTACCTAATTCCACTTGTGTATGTTTTTTTTTTTCGTAATTTCAATTCAATAAATGCATCTACATGTGCATTTGTATGTATTTATTTTCTTATTGTTTTCAAAACCGATTTAAGGATATAACTTAATATTTACATATGTATGTTCTTATATTAAGTTATATAACTTAATATAACTTAATATTTAAGAATATAACTTAATATTTACATTGTACTTTGGTAGTATACACAATGTACCTTTTGGTTTTTCGCAGTGTAAATTCATTTTCTTACCCATAATAGCAAATGTATTTATATTTTTTCTTACCAATAAAAGAAACTATGTTACCTAATTCCACTTGTGTATGTCTTTTTTTTTGGTAATATCAATTCAATAAATGCATCTATATGTGCATTTGTGTCTATTTATTTTCTTATTGTTTTGAAAACCGATTTAAAAATATAACTTAATATTTACATATATGTACATTTTTTTTGGTGATTCAATTGTAACTTTTCTCATATCAATTAGAATTTTTCTTTTTTTTAAAAAAAAACATGGCATACATAATCTCCATCGTGCTTTGAGAGCATACGCAAACATATTATAATTGAGCCGTTGTTCATACCTATGAATGAATACAAGAATATCAAGCACAATTTAGTTGTTGCCTATAACAATATAATATTATTTTGTTTTTCTTATTCAAGTAATATATATATATATATATATATATATATATATATATATATATATATATATATATATATATATATATATATAAACTATTACCAATTTTTTTGTTATTTTTTGTAAACAATTACTGATATTTGTGTTTTTGGTTAAAAATAAGCCCAAATTATATGGACTTTTTCTTGAAGATATCCGAAAAATTACTTCATAAGTTTTAAAATTTTGTATGAAACTAAAGATCGGATTTGAGCCCATTAAAAACGAAAGATATGTGTGAGGTTTGATTTGATGTATAAAGCCAAAAAGTTATAATAACAAATTAACTAAACAATAAAACGAAAACGACTAACCTTTGGGGGGTATCTCTCTCATATCTTACTTTGAGAATCATCACAATCTCCCGTCTTTCTCAGTCCAGATTGCTGTTCTTCTATTAGATGATTCAATCGATGGCGAGTTCATCTGATATTCTATAACATATTTGTCTCAATCTTTTCTCCTGCCGATGAAAAACTCGCATCTCTGCTTCAATTAAGGTTCTGATCTTTAATTACTGTTTTATTTATCGTTGTACCCGTTTAGAACCCTAACTTTACTTTTGTTGAGTTCAAGGTTTAATTTTTATCACAAAGCTTGCACCTTACATGTCCTGTTTCTTGATAGCTTCTTGATACCGCGATTAGAAATTTGAGCCATAAAAATCAGGGTTTTCCCTCTTTATACTTCGAAGAGGAATGCTTTCGGCTTGTCGTGATCCAATTTCGTAAGAAGATGGGTTTTAGTACAACAACTGGAGTGCGAAACTAGGGTTCTGTTAGTGTTAAAATCCCTCGGAGATATGTATATGCTGCTGCTACAGTGTCAGATCGTGTTCCCCATATAAAATTCGGATTTAGGGTTTTGACGTTTTCCATCAATCGAGAGGAAATTAGGGTTTCGATTCTATACGGTTTTAATGGGGGATCAATCGCCACAGAACACAATGAATCTTGACCTAAATTTAGGACCTGTCGTTCAACCTTCCCCAGATGATGAACCACATGCTATGAGCTTTGAAGATTGGCTACTCGGGTCTATGAGGGAAGTGGTTTCTAATCGCCCTATGGGTAGGCAGCGATTGCGATCAGTTTGGAGACATATGCCTGTTTCCATGGAAGCTAGAAACACCTCTCTAGGGTTAACAGGTGATGATGACGAACAACACCCTCAAGATACAATCAAAACAAACGAAAATGGTGATAAGTACTTAGAAAACGAGGCTATAAGAAACACAAACCTTGAAAACAACAATGGAAACGAATGTAGCTTTTTTGATTGTAACATATGTTTGGATTTAGCAAGTGAGCCTGTAGTCACTTGTTGTGGACACCTTTTCTGTTGGCCATGTCTTTACAGATGGCTATTTGTTCATTCCGATTCAAAAGAATGTCCAATTTGCAAAGGAGAAGTCACAATGAAAACCATAACTCCAATTTATAGCCGTGGAAATCGAACACGTGTAAACAAAGAAACCATCGATTCAAATCTCAAGATTCCAAATCGACCACAAGCTAACAGAATAGAAAGCTGGAGACAAGCAATTCAAAGAAACACACTCAATCTCCCAATGTTTGAAATGATTCGAAGGCTCGATAATCGATTCGAATTAACTTCCGATAACACACAAGAACCTTCAAATCATTCATTGTTAAATAGAATCTTCACTTCAAGAGGGATGCGAAGGGGTTTAGATCCCGTAACTGCCGCCCCGGAACATGCCACCGTGGACCCGCACCCACACCCGCCACGTGGCGCCGGTTTGAATTCTGTTGAGGGTTTTGTTGAATTGTATGAGAGGAATCTTGAACAGATTCCATTAATGGAAGATAGACATTCGATGTCGAGTATTGCTGCTGTGATGCAATCTGAAAGTCAGACTGAAACGGATTCTAGGGTTTCTGTTTCAACGAGTTCAAGAAGAAGATGTGAATCATCAAGTTCTAGGGTTGAAGATGTTAATAGTGGAGAGTCTCGTTCTAGGAGGAGGAGATTGCAGTGAAATGAAAAAAGGGTTTTTTTCAATACTTTGAACGTCTTTGACTTTGAATGAGTGGGTTTTGAATCTATGTTAAAATATTTGTTTTTAACTTTTTTTGTTTTTTTTATATTTGTTTTGTGCAATTTGATGCTTAAAAACAATTTACTCTTTCTGCAATTAGATGGTCATATTCTTGTGCTTTGAGTTGTGTTGGAATGGTGTTAATGTTTTTATGTATAGTTATGAGTATTAGTTTTCTCGTGATATGATATTAAAGTTTTTATTTGAGTTCTTTAGTGTAAGAATTGCGACATTGGTTAGTTGGTGTTTTTAGTACTTGTGGTTTGTGTTTGAGGTCCATGAATATGGATTATTCCAAACCTTATTTTATGTATAGTGGAGTATGGCTTTGTGTTAGAGCATAAAGTTATTAAAAGTATTTAAATATTGTTTTTAATTAATTACAACGTGAAAACTTAAAACGTGTTATTCCAAACCATTTAAAATTGACTATTGAATAAATTCCGACAACACTTTTTTAGCTTTATAAAAAATCAATATTTTATTGGACTTAATAGAAATTGGATTGAATCTTGACGCTATGAGAATCTGGGAGTCTGTCTCAAAGATATTTAAATGTTTGCAGCGGACAATATAAAAAAGAGACTTTTTTTTTAATATATAGGCTATTTAAATAAACTAAAATACTAAAATAAACTAAAGTTTAAATAAATTGTTCTTTTTAATTTCAAAATAATTTTTTTTAATATTTTTATGATTTTGTTATAAATAATTAACAAATCTAAATCAATTTTTATCTAAATCAATTTTTATGTATTATTGTATAAAAATAAAAATAAAAACGATACGAATTAACGTATATTTTTAATAAAAACCAACAATTTTGATCGTAAGGTTATACATATACATTGTATTTATGAATCAAAGAATTTAATACATAAATGGAAGAAAATAAGCTTCGATTTCTCAATTAAATTAATTAAAAACGTAACGTAAATATTTTTCCAAAAAATTGAAAATATTGTATTAAATAATGTTTTATAAAATTTGGCATAAAAAATATAATAATTTATTATGATGTTTATATTTATAAAAACAACTTCAGCGACCTTTATTGTAATAAATATTTATTTATAAATTTGTCAAAAATATCATGTTTGTGTTGTCGAACCATTTTTTAATGTATTGTAACTTTTTTTTTCAAATTGTTTATCATTAATAAAGTTTGAATAAATATAAATTAAAAAAACTAATATATATATATATATATATATATATATATATATATATATATATATATAGAGAGAGAGAGAGAGAGAGACAGGTAAGTTCAGTTGAGAAAATAAAAAAGATTGAGAATTGGGGAATCATTCTCATTCAATCATTTAATTAGCATATTAGAATAAAATACACGGTGGCAAATTTGTAAATATGATATATTAACCTTCAATCACAGATACCATTTCTTCTTGATCGTTTATATATTCTTCATCAACATCATCTGTTATTAATTCATCTTGATTGTTCCTCTGTGTTCTTCATCAACATCATACAACATCATATGTTCTTCATCAACATCATACGTTTTACTACTTGTTCGCTATCAAAATCACATGTTCTTCATAAAAAAAAGACATCGACACTTCATAAAAACATCAATTCTTCATCAAAAATCTTCGTTTATTCATCAAAATGTTGTGATTCGTCATTAAAAACATTTATTTGTACTACTAAGTGTAACTCGTGATTCAATCTTGTACAGTTTCATTGACATCAAGCAAAATCGTTAAAATAATCCATATTTATCGATATCACATCATTTAGTGATCACAAATCATCGAAACTTCAGCAAAGGAACCTTCGCCAATATCAAACAACATGTAGCAATCAAAAATTCATCAACATAACCATATATTTGAAGATTTTTTTTAAAATCGTTTTTCAAGTTTGAAAAACTTCGTTTTCTATACATTTTTTTTCACAATTTTTTATATAAACCTATTGATTCTTAATCGATTTTGATAGGATTTGATTTGTTTTGTAATTATTGGCTTCAATTGTGAATTTTTTACCATAGTTATATAAGTTAATTTATTTGCACACCAACTGTTCGATGAAATGCATAAACTAAATATATCACGTAATATTCACAAATGAATATGTCTTTATAAGAGAATCAATGTATATCTTTTAAAAACACAGAGCAAATATGTAATTGATATGTGAATAATATATAAAAAAAATATATATTCACATGCGAATACATGTAATATTCACAAATAAATACAAGTAATATTCATAAATGAATACAGGTAATACGTCATTTTAAGGTCCTAAGTAAGTTTGCAATTCATATGTGAATAACATATAAGAATTATATCCGCATATAAACATATGTAATATTCACAAATGAATATATATGTAATAATTAAATGTGAATATATATGTAGTATTCACAAATGAATAAAACTGTTAATAAAACCGAGGATTATAAAATATATAAAATTAAAGATAAAAAACATATTTGATAAGAATATATATTTATTCACATACAACTAATCTTTTTAGGTTAATAAAATAATTATATAAGCATATATATTTTTATTAATGTTATATTCATTTGTGAATAAATGATAACTTTTTTTTTCCAGAAAATTATAAAAATAGAAAAACGTCAATTTGAGGCCCTAAACAGCCTCAAATGGCCGAAAAACACCGTACGTCACGGAGAAGCTGTGAGTTTTTTATAAATCGCACTATTTTACATCAAATATGCGAATTTCGTCCAATTCTGAAACTAAACTTCATTGCGACAAATTGTTTTGATGATGTCACTAAATTTTCATTCCTACTAGTGATGACATTATCATTATTCATATATGAATAAAGTTTAGAAATCATGACGGCATATTTATATTTACTGATGATGTTACTAACTTTAATCCTACTAGTAAAAACATCGTTATTCTAATCTTTTATTTTTATTTATGTGAATAAACTATACATATTGATTTATTTATTTTGTGAATACAACCATTATATATAAAAATAAATAATACACTATAAGAATTGGTTTGTGCATAGTTTTTTTTTGTATAATGTAACAATATTATTTTACATGTATAATCAACATTATACTAAGACAAACAAAATTGTATTGGTTAATGAATATCATTTGCATTTGAATTTAATACGATCAAAATGAAGAATATATTAAATTGTATAAAATTTACACGTGAATATAAAAATATATTGTCTTCGTCAATGATATCTTCTCAATTACGTCAACCAATCGTCAACCACCAAGATATGAATCAACCATTGATTGAAATGTTATTCTTTTATTGAGTTATAATGATGCCTGAAAAACACGTGAATACACATAAAAATGTTAAAAATATACTTTTAGTTCATAATAATAGCGATTTATCACATTCTAATTATCACATGGTAAATTCACATATGAATGTATAATCATATGTGAATATTATATGATATATGTTTTTTAGATTGTATATTTACATGTAATATTACATGATATATTTACAAATGAATATTACATAGTATATTCACATATGAATATTATATAGTAGATTCATATGTGAATATTATATGGTATATTTACTTGTGAATATTACACATTCTAGTCACATCTAAATATTGCATGATATATATTCATTCATGAATATTACACAGTATATTTATATATGAATAATATATAATATATACACTTGTGAATATGATACAGGATATTCATATTTAAATATTAAACGATGCATTCACTTGTGAATATTTCATAATCTTTTCACTTGTAGGTATTAGATGCTATATTCACTTATGAATATTAGATGATATATTCATATGTGAATATTACACAGTTTATTCACATATGAATATTACACACGATATTAACATATGCATATTACAAGATATATTCACAAATATATATAATTTTTATATGTTATTCACATATGAATAACATATAAAATTATATATATTTTTTTGTGTTTTAATAATCATATATTGATTAAGGTGCGAAAACATATTTATACGTGAATATAACGTGGTCATTTAGTTTATGCATTTCATCAAACAGTTTGAGTGCATACAAATAAACTTTCTTAAAAATGCTAAAAACATGATACTTTGACTATTTAAAACTTACAAAATAGTAGATTGATAGAGAATTATATGAAATTTTTCAAAAAAAAAATGATTTGATGTTTTTCTAACTTTAATTTCGAAGTTTTGTTTGATAATCGATGTTGAATGAATGATATCAAGTGAAACTACTGTTGATTATCGATGATATTGATCTAATGACACCGGGAGTAAAATTAATCGTAGATGTTGAAGATATTCTCGTATTCAAGCATAGTTGAAGGTTGAATTGAAAGAACCAAAAACGATTTTTTTTGATCTACTGTTGAATGATGTTGATGAACGTGTTTTTGATGAAGATGGATGATTGATTAATACTAGATGATGTTGATCGATGATTTAATTGAAGAAATCTGGATGATCGTTGAACGTTGGAGAAGAAATTTGGATGATAAACGATCGAGTATAATGAATTTGAATTGTTATCAAATTATCCACAGTTACATATCTGTGATTGAAGGAGATCATATCATATTTACAAGTTTGTCACCGTATATTTTAAGTTAAGATGCTAATTAAATGATTCCTTTTTTTTCTCAATTGAACCCTCCCCCTCTCTCTCTCTCTTTCTCTCTCTCTCTCTCTCTCTCTCTCTATATATATATATATATATATATATATATATATATATATATATATATATATGTAAACATTACATTCAAATTACTTTACAAGAGATGTCTAAATTTGATAGGTATCGCCGAATTTTCAAATAATTAAAATTTATAGTAGAATGCTAACTGGTCATGTGAATTTCGGAAATCACTATAATCACATTATTTTACAACCAAAACGGAGGATTAAATTGTGAGATGGATGATTGATTAATACTAGATGAT